TCTTTCTCTCTTTCTCTCTTTCTCTCTTTCTCTTTCCTTCTTTTCCCTTTCCTTTCCTTCTTTTTCCTTCCCTTCCCTTCCCTTCCCTTCCCTTCCCTTCCCTTCCCTTTCCCTTTCCCTTTCCCTTTCTCTTTCCTTTTCCTTTCTGTGTTCTTTATTTTATTTTTTTTCTCTTTTCCTCCCTTCCTGCCCCCCTCCCCCCATTTCCCTTAGAAAGACTTCCATCTTCCATCTGCCTGAAATTAGCCTCGTTTCGCTCTATTTCATCTTCTTGTGTTTGGAACTTGATGGCTGCCAGGCTTAACAACTTATTTATTTTTGATTTTATCTGATGTAACTTTATTTTTACTTTATTTTGCATGCATTATTATTACTCTCATGTTGGAGGGGTTCGTAAGCACCGCTCAGTCTCTTGTGTGGCGGTGGAGACCTCCCGCTCCAGGAGATGCTTTTCATGCCAGCCCGACGGTGCTGCCTTTTCTTCACCCTGGGGCTCCTCGCACAAAAAGAATCCCCTTGTGCAGGATGCGCAAGGCGGAAGCAGTGGGAAGGTGCTTCCCCTGGCACCCTTCTCGCGCCTGAGGATATATGGAGCGGTTCTCCAGGAGACGGCAATCGCAAGCCGCAGCCTTCCCCCCCGTGTGCATCCCTGCTGCTTGGTGACTGCTTCCCATTGCTTCATGGAGGGTTTATCATTAATTTCCATGGTGATGCTGGCTCATCCTATTCAGATTCCCTATATGTGCTGGTCGGGGCATGGATTGCACCTCCGCAGTTACAGCACACAGGCCTTTTCCTGTTGCCACGACTGAATGCCAGGGCTGGAGCCCAGATGTTGGCCTGCCTCGTGCTTCAATAGCGCTGCGTCCTGCGATGGTCCTGCCGGGCAGGGGAAGGAGCCCGTCTGGGTAACCAGCAAATGCTTTCACTCACAGTGGTTATTTGCTCTTGAACCACCTATTGCATCCCACTGCTTGGAGGGGGCAGCGTGCACGTAACATACGGGGCATCTCTTTTTGTGACCCGTGTCCTCGCCCGCTTGTGCTCCCGCCCAGACCCTGTCCATAATTTAGAGCATCTCTGCCTGCTGCCATGGGCTTGGAGGAGCCAAAGACCTAGAAGCTTCTTACTCCTCTCCTTTTCTTCATACAGGGTCCCTACTTGGGGAGAGAAAGGGAGGGTGATATGAAAGAACCTCCTATCCGCATGAGAAGCCCCTAGAGGTGCCCTCACGCCGAGACCTGCTACAAGTTCCTTCTGTTCCCAACTAGTCTTAGGGCTGCCCAGGGATGTGAAACACCGTATTCGACAGCCTTTCCCGTGACGTGGGTGGTGAGAGGCAGGAACGAAAGGAATGTTTTCCTAAGGCTTGCTAGTTTTATTTAGTTCGGTTCAAAATAGTCCTCTGCCAAGGGTAACGAGAAACGTCAAACAAGATGCTACGTTAAGGTGGACCTGAAGCTTTGGCACCGGGTGCCTAGAGACTTAGGTCTTGCACTTACTTAGAGCCTTGCACTAGTGGCTTCTGAAATGTTATTCTGTCTGGTTTCTCCTGGATATTGATCACCATTGATAGGTGAATCACTCCTCCTTACCCTACTTTTTCACTCTTTGCCTTGTAGCTTTTATATTAAAAAAAAGAAAGTTGTTATTTTTCTTTTAACTTTAGAGCCCAGCAGATAGCAGATTGGATAGGTCATTTAAATGTCCAGTATATACTACCCAGTAATATTCCTGTGAAAGCTTAGTGAGTAATCACCATGCAAACCCTTACACAGAAATAACCTGTAGTGAGTCTGAGCAAGTTTTCTCTTTCTTTAAACTTTCTCCCTCTTTTTTATTATTATTTTTCTTCCAAGTTAACTTTGAAGCCAATATATGCCATCCATTATGGACCCTGATAAAAAAAGCTTTATGCATGGCAGCCTGTTCCAACATTCTTGGTGTAACACCCTCTGCAAAATCATCCTGTAAATAGAGTAAGCTCTTAATGGGGTATCGTTATAGCAGCTGTAAAGCAACCACACATCCTAGTAATTAGGAAATGAGAGGCGGAAGGTTATCAATTATTGTTGCACTATGAGGAAGGAATATGTTTTGGTCTGTTTGTCTTCCTGTTGTTCTTTTCCTTTGGCCCCTCCATAAAGTACTGTTTGCTAAGTCGCTTGACTCGTTGTTTGCAAATGCAGCAAAAGATTTCCTAGAGCACATTTTGTTCCATTTTCCTAGAAGGGAGCTCAGTATTTGATATAGAGCCCTGCCTGGTAGAAGGACTATATGGAATTTAAGTGTTGAAAATGCAGTGAAAAGACCTCCAAATGCAAAGAAGTCAGAAATTATGTTTAAAGGAACATAAACCACGTAACAGTGGTGAGAGATCTGTACCCCTCCATGAACATCAACCCATCCCTATTTCAGCCCATTGCTTCTCCACCTTTTGCACTCTGCAGTTCTTCTTATAAGGCAGCCCCATCAAGGAAGGAAAATAGAAAGAGGCAGACTAGATAACATCTCTGAAAATGCTTTATTTTGGTGCAACTCAGAGACACCTGCATTTTCTTACCCCCTTGATCCCCTTGGATGATGTATTTGCTGACACTCTGCTTTTCTGCGCCTTAGTTCTTCAGTTTGCCGCTTGTTCTTTGATTCTTCAGCCTGGAGCTCTGATGAAAGGAGGCTTCTCACAGCAAAACTCCGCTTGCTCAAAGCTTTATTCAAGCTCTGAGGATTCCATGTGTGGAAGGAAATCCCAAGGGAAATGAGCCTGGCAGTCAGATTCATACTGACCAACTCTGAGCTGCAATAGATTTCTGCTTCCATTTGTTGTCTCCCAAATATTTCCCAGTGAGAAATCCATGCTTAGTGAGTTTAAATGTTTTGACAATAGCTGTCTGTTGCCAGTTATATTTGTGGTGGTCCATGAACTCCAAACAGTTTGCAAACCTCATCTTGAAAATCAATGCTCAGTACAGAGATTTATTATTATTATTTTCAGATGTAATTTGTATTCTATCTGTTGGAGGGATTCACTACAAAGCCAGATTTGGGGGAGGAATTGGATTTGCAAATCCATGGAAAATTTTTGCTTGTGCAGTGTCCTAATTCAAGGTTGTGTCCTCTATTTCCACAAATGAATTTAAAGCCATGATTTGGGGTGACCTTGTAGAGATAAAGATATAGATTATTTGTAACCCATGGCACAGTTTTATGGTCATAGTCCATCAGTGGTCTGGTCCATAAAAGAAGCGTATGAGGGTTACTGAAATTGGGCAGAGTTTTGTATATAAAAAGCTTGACCTGTCTGTCAACAGCAGGTCACACTTCAGTACTGATACCTTAAATTGTTGGATTTAAGCAGAGCAGGCTACGTATGAGCTAAAGTGGATGGTTGCCCAAGAACTTTCTTTCTCAAGATAGATTAACTGGTTGAAAAGCAGGTGCATTTTGGATGGAGATAAAGTCAGCACCAAACTTTTCATCCAATGTTCGCATAGATAACTGTGGAAAAACGTTGTTGAAAGAAGCCTATCAATAAAAGCAGCACTATCACCCTTATGCAACTCGCTCTGCACCACTGTCAAGGCTTCGTGTGGCCGCTGCTCTACGTTTC